AGCAGAATGGTGGCCCTGCCCTGTGTGCCCACCACGAGGGACCCCCTGCAGCCAGCCCTGCCACTGCACCTCTGGCCAGGGCAGGGCTCCCACCACCTCCCTGCAGCTGGGGCCATCTGGAAAAACACTTCTGCTTTAGCCCAGGCTGGCTCAGCACAGGGTGCTCCCAGTGCCCCCAGCCCCATGCCTGACCCCCACTGGTGCCCCCAGCCCCACTCACGGTAGCGGATACGGATGGGCCAGACCATGATGCAGCACAGAGAGACAATGGCAGCGATGGCAATGCCTCCAGTGACCAACACCATCACCCAGTGGTAGAAGCTGATGCAGGCAGGGCAGCAGAGCTCAGTCCTGCAGGGAGAGGGCAGGGACGTGGCTTGGGGGCCAGGACCAGAGCCTGTCCCAGTGCTGCCCAAGTGCTCTGAGGCTGCTGAGAGCAGTCCCACATCCTCTGTGTCAGGACTAGTTCACATTGAGATGTGAGGGAAATGTCCAGGACAATGAGAGAGGGCAGCACCCTGGAAAACTCAGATCCCCAGCCCCTTTGTGGGTCCCACAGGTGTTCATCTAGAGCTGAAGAGAAGTCAAGGAAGCACTTAAGACAAATCAGAGCTTGTTTCCTCCACCCACGTCTTGCTCTGAACCAGGATTGGGGCATTCCCAAGCACAAACACAGCCTGGGTGAGATGGACTGAGAGCAGCCCTGGGGAAAAGGACTTGGGGGTGTTGGTTGATGGAACTCTCATCATGAGCCAGCAACGTGCACTTGCAGCCCAGAAAGACGTGGGCTGCATCAAAAGAGGCATGGCCAGCAGGTTAATGGGGGGATTTAGTCTGGAGAAGAGAAGGCTCCAGGGAGATGTTAGAGCACTTCAGTACCTGAAGGGGTTACGGGAAAGGTGGGGAGGGACTTCTTACAAGGGCATGGAGTGATGGATGAGGGGGAATGGCTTCAAGCTGAAATGGGGGGAGATTTAGATGTGACATTAGGAAGAAATTCTGTGCTGAGAGGGTGGTGAGAGCCTGGCCCAGGTTGCCCAGGGAAGCTGTGGCTGCCCCATCCCTGGGGGTGTTGAAGGGCAGGTTGGATGGGGCTTGGAGCAGCCTGGGCTGGTGGGAGGTGTCCCTGCCCATGCAGGGAGGTGGGACTGGATGATCTTTAAGGTCCCTTTCAACCCAAGCCAGCCTGGGGTTCTTTATTCACTGGCTGGTTTCCCGTGGCTGCCCCCGCCGCTGCCGGGTTCCCGCCCGCGGGGACGCTTACGGGCAGGGGTGCAGGTTCTGGATGGCCATCACCGCCAGCCCGTTGGCCATCTTGTCCGTGAAGCTCATGGCGCCGTAGACGAAGGCTCCGCTGTGCTGCCCGGGGGAGGAAACCTCCTGAGCGGCTGCGGGAGCCGCGTGCCCTCTGATGGGCTGAGCCCGCACTGCAGCCGGGCCCGCACCGGGGCTGCGTCTGCATCCCGCGTGTCCCGCCCGC